CAAAAAGACAGTGTTGCCACGCCACCCTCGCACAAAGAAAAAAAATGCATGAGTAAATTATAAGTTTGTGTAAATTTAATTTTTTACCATCAGACGGGCTGTATGCGTGTTTACCATCTTTGTAGTATAAAAAAATACCAGTCATTTGCTAATAACTTTAAAACTACAAAATAAATGAATCGGATATTTATCTATGCACAAAAATTGCTAAGCTGAGTAGCATAAGTCAAAGGCCTAGGTCTGTCACCTTGAAATTTGCTTCACCGAGATTAAGAGATAATTTTTGGCAGCCTTAAATGTCTGCCTTAAATGAAGCCTGAAGTTTATTAAACTTCAATAAAAAAACAAATAACGTTAACGACAAATTCGACACCAGCTACATTGACATTAGTGGTGACAGATTGACAGAAAGCTACTATCCTTATTTGTACCCATCGCTGTTCGTATCCGTTATATAGGTAGGTCTAGAAACGCTCGAGGTACGCACCCCAACGCTGCATGCGATTGCGTGCTTGTCGACTACTATCGGCACCGCCGGTTCGCACCTGTACTGCTCAGTTTGCTCCCACTTATCAGGCTATTTCTCTGCTCAATTCTCTGACTGCTCTGCAGCCAGATATTGTTATATTTAATGACAAAATAGATATATTTTTAAAATGTTGTACAAAATTTGTAAATTTGTAAAATAAACCTATGGCTCACTACACGTTTTGGGAGACTACAAGTGTGGTGAGTAATTTTTAAATAAATAAATAAATAAAACCAATTTTTCTAAAAGAATATTTGTTACCTACACAAAAGGCTATTTACGCAGCTGTGCGCAGTAAAGCTAAGGAGTCAAAGTATGGAAGGTGGTGTATTAGTAGCGGTAACTGATAGACTGACTTCTGTGCGTGTTTCGGAGTGAGAAAGTGAATGTAAATATCTTTGGGTCTCAATAACAAGTACTATCAAACAGGGTAAAATACCAAGTACTATAAGAATATGAATAATAATAATACTGTATACTTACCACCATCAATAATAGTTTAAAAAAAATATCATTGATAAAACCAATGGAATCCTGGAATCATGTATAGAACGGGAGTACATTCTAATTGATAAATATATTAAAATACATTTATTGTAACTCTGTATGTTAGCACACTAGATTTATAACATTGATCTTGCTTTTGCTGTTATAATGTTATAATTATTTTTAATGCTTAAATAAATAATAAATAAATACTAATTGCGGGTGATTTTAACGAATGGTCTAAATAATCTAGAATCCAATGTATATTAACACTGATTTAGGCTATGCAGTTCCTTCAAGCAACAGCGATCGTGAGCTCTTGTACAGGTTTGTGGATTTTCTTACAATTGCTGACCTCAAATAATATAACTGTATCATTAATATACAAAATAATGTACTGGATCTGTTACTTTGTGATGAGGAAATTAAAGAAGTCGCTGAGTGGTCAAATACTGTAAGAAATATAGATAAGTATGATCCAACACTAAAAATTAAAGTAAAAGTCCAGGCAGAAAGTAAAAAGTATCTATGCCCACCGGGATTCATTGCTATGGGGGTAACTATAAGACAATTAATTCATATCTCAAGTCGTTATCCTGTACTGATTACTTTCATTCCTGCAATGAGTTGGGGGGAAAGGAATTGTTAGTAATGAAGACTGAGAATCCCATTGCTAGCAATATAGCCAACCAGGTCGATCTATTCTCTCCCTGGAAACTATCATGGTTAATTCCTGATGAATTTATCATGATGGGCTTACTGGCCTGTTTTTATTCTCATCTATCACCCTTCACTGGCGCTCCGCCAGCGTATCCCGTTAGCGCAGGCGGGGTTACCATACCATTTTCACCCATAAAAAAAAATCCTGCAATGATGTTAATGAAATGTTGATGAAATTTTATAATATATTAAAAGACACTATTAAGTTTCACATTGCTATGACTAAAACACCTAAAGATTCATACCCTGTGTGGTTTCCATCACCCTTAACATATTTACTCAATTAAAAAAAACCATAAAAGGATAAAAAAATATATAATAATGCACTCGATAAAATAGAATATGAATATTTGAGAGATTACTGTAAATAATTAATCAAAAAATGCAATAAGTATAAATAAAATAGAAAATGATTTAAAAAATAATCCCAAAAAAATCTGGACGCATATAAAGGGTTTGTGTAGAAGTAGTTCATGGTATCCAAATACAATGACCTTGAATAATGATAACTGTAGAAAAAGTTACATTCCTGTAATGAGTTCTCAAGTGCATGACATAATCAGTGATATTCATTTTACGCTAGAGGAAGTTAAAAGAGAACTTAAAAAGCTAGACACAGCAAAGGCTATAGGCCCAGATAAAATACACCAACTCTTTTTTCTTTCTTTTTTATACAACTTAGAATGGCAAATTAGCTGACGGACCACCTGATGGAAAGTGGTAACCGTCGCCTATAGACATGAGCAGTAACATGGACATAACAGAGTATACTGTTTCGCCCATGATACCCCCCATGCATTGCCATTCCTGAGGACTCAAGTGTTATTCCTCTGTACCCAGTAAATTCACGCCATATCCCACCCTTCAAACGGAAACACAGCCATGCAAACACAACTGCTTCACGGTTGAAACACGAATGGGACAGAGGTACTCAAGCAATCGACTATTGTACAGAGTCTCCCTCCGGTAAGATAATTGAATATTCGTATAAAATGAGCTAATACATTGCCTCTTCCATTGAGTATGATCTGGCATATTTCCTAACGAATGAAAGGAGGCTAATATAATGCCGATATTCAAGAGCGGTAACAGGGAGATCATTTCTAATTATTGACAAATATCTCTGTTGTTATCGATATCTAAGCTGTTTGAGTCAATAGTTCATTCTGTCATGTATTGTCATATAAAAAAGTACATAGTAAATAATTAACATGGCTTTATGGCAGAAAGGTCTGTAAACACTAAATTTATATTTTTTACTTCAAAGTTAAAGGAAGCAGTCGATTAAAATGTTCAGGTAAATGTAGTTTACACCGATTTTACAAAGGCCTTTGATAAAGTAAATCATACATAGTATAGTGAAAAAGCTGCAAACATTTGGAATAGTAGATAGTTTGCTTGAATGGTGTAAATCTATACCAAAGGGTGCCTCCCTTTAGTATATAGATTAAATATAGATATATATAGATCTCGCATAACATTAACTTCTTGAAGTGGATTACCCTCAACAAAATAATGTGATTGCAACTTCACGAGTTTCCGTGTAAACTTTATGTGGTAACATGTTGAATATTTAAACACATTTAGTTATTATTACACCGTTCGGTTAGGTAATTAATGTTCTTTTGAAAGCATTCCACACAGCACATCTGAGGGTTTTGTTACTGTCCTCAACATTTTAAAATCATTAGCAAATAGGTAGCCATTACTATGCTTAATATTATGAATAATATCATTGAAGACATTAAAAAATAGAGCTCCTAAAGTAGATCCCTGAGGCACACCTGAGGATGCCACAAAGGAGGAAGTTAGAATATTGTTAAATTATATATATATTTTTTTTTATATACAATTTAGAATGGTAAACAAGCTGACGGCCCACCTGATGGAGTGGTAACCGTCGCTTATAGACATGAGCAGTACCGTGGACATAACAGAGTATACAATTTCGTCCATGATACCCCCTCATACGTTGCCTTTCCTGACGACTCAGGTGTTATTCCTCTGTACCCTGTAAATTTACTGCCATATACCACCCTTCAAACCCAAACACAGCCATGCAAACAACTGTTTCACGATAGAAACACGAATAAAACCGAGGTGTCCAAGCAAACGACTTTTATACAAAGTCTCCCTCTGGTAAGGATATAGGTTAATTAAATAAATAAAAAAAATATTTGTTTTTAAGTCATTTATTAAATTATATAAATATCTATTATTTACGCTAAATTAATTAACAATAGAACTTAATTATTCTATTATGTAAAAACCTGTAGAGTATAAATAATTAAATATGTGGGTAATGCGGTCAGTTAGTCCATACAGTCGACTTAGCGAGATGAAAAAGATATAAAAAGGAGATGTAAAGTACCAAAAAGAAGATAAAGAGAATTGCATAAAAAATTTATGGTACTAGAACAAGGTTAATTACATTCCATCGTGGCATAGAGTCCACATCCCCGAAGATGATTTAGACTCCCTTGTTATCAGGAGAGTATCACAATTATAGCAATAAGGAAAAAAATTACTTTGTTATTTATAATTATCTCTATATGGTTACGTTTTGTGATGTAACATTTTTTTAGTTACTTTTAGATTTCATAATAATCTGTATAAACATTCTGTTGCGCTAGTGACAATAGATGGCGTTGTTTACACTAAACAAAAAAAACATGTTTATTTTAGATCTTTTTTGGCCAGTTGCAAGATTTGTACTTGCCAATTTCTAATTTTTGTAACCAATAAATGTTACTGTAAAAAATAATTACTGTTTTCCTTTTTAATAAATGAATAATATAAAAATTTGTTTTATTTCCCTAGAATGCTAAAAATAAATAAAAAATAGGTTATTCTTTATCTCTAAGTGTAAATACATAACTTGTTTTAACGATACTTTCACGTCAAAACGGTAAGAACTTTCAAAACTGCTTAGGTGGCTAGTTACTAATGAGTTTACCTCACCTATAAAAGAATGAATGACAATTTTTTTATACCACAAAGGTGGCGAACAAGCATACAGCCCGTCTGATGGTAAACAGTCACTGTAACCTATAGACGCCTACAACACTAGATGGATACTAGTGAAATTATTATAATTTGTAAGTTCATATCATACATATTGCTAAAATATAATATTAGGTATAAAAGTATAACTTAACAGATAGCGTAGTACATTCCTATTATAATTTCGTTGAATTTGATTTGCTTTGTACTGAATATATACATAGCTGACCCGGGATTGTCCATAAAAGGTTTTTTTTTTAAATTTATTATTATTATTTAAAGGGCTTTTACCTTCTTCAGATATATCAGCCCTATCGTACCCTGAACTGATTTCTCAAACAAAACTTTATCTACTTTCCCTAGATGCGGAAAGAGAAGAATTAATGGGCATCAATAATTTACAGAGATGTTCAAAAATTTCTGGTTTAAGTTCAGCTAACATAGATTGAATAAGACCAATATTAAATTTATTTAAGTTAAAGTGGCGCATGAATTCTTCTCTTTCCTTCGTGTTAATACGACACTCTAATAGAATATGATGCACATCATCGATGGTATCACAAGTTTGACAATGGGGTGACAAGGACTTTCCCATCATATTATAAAAAATAAAAAAAATTAGGGGTAGGCAACCCTTATCATTGAGAGATATAAGAATTATGTTAGCCGATTCTCAGATCTACCCGATATATACACAAGATTTCATAAAAATCAGTAAAACCGTTTCGGAGGAGTTTGGTAACAAACACCGCTACAGGAGAACTTTATATATTAGATTCTAGTAAACATAATAAAAATATTAGGCTTTAGTGTAATACAAGTTATGATTCAATTGAAAATGTCGGAATTCGTACCGGGAAATATGCAAAATTACATAAGAGGTTAGGTACTGTACAATACTATACAAATACAATACATTGCAATACAATACAAAGCATACTTGGAATAAAATAAATGTAATTAACATTTTTCATTTTAATTTTTTCTTTATCATCAGTAAATCCTTAGTCGTACTTATATGTCTAATATATATAAATTAATAATAATTTTATGGAAGCATCTCCAGTTCCGGCGGTAGCGGTATGTTTTTCATGATCGCAAATCTCTTCAGGGCGTCATACTTCCCTCGGAGCGCGTCTATCTCCTCGCGGATCCTGGTGTTCTCTTCCTGCATCATCTCCATATCATGCCATTCCTGTTGATAGAAAGAGATTTCATTAACAACTTTCATTGGTTGGTACAATACGATAACAAAACGATCCATGTTTCTACCGTGAATCAGTTGTGTATGCATGACTGTGTTTCGGTTTGAACGGTGGGATATGGCAGTGAATTAACAGGGTACAGAAGAATAACACCTGAGTCCTCAGGAATGGCAACGCATGGGGAGTATCATGGGCGAAACAGTATACTCTGTTATGTCCATGGTACTGCTCATGTCTATAGGCGACGGTTACCACTTTCCATCAGGTGGGCCATCAGCTTGTTTGCCACTCTAAGTTGTATAAATAAAAAAAAATAAAAAAGCTGCAAGGGGTCCAACGGAACTAGATAAATTTTGAAAACGGTCTATGAGAACGAACGGTCTGGGAACTTCCTAAGAGATATTTCCATATGTCCATTTACTTGTCAGCTTTCTAATTACCTTAATCACCTTTGGTATGAATTACCTAATTTGTTAAATAAACAAAACAAGACACGTGAGAAACACTGATAAGGATAAATATTTGTTTGTCATTAAGGTATCTATTGGTTAATGGACGGTAATTATTTTGGTCATTAAAGGACAATATATGCATAATAATCATTAACTAATGGGATAATTGCAAAATTACACCATCGTCCGCCTAATGGACGTGCGAAAATAAGAAACAGGGATAGGTAGAGGGGATTGGAATCGAGTTTAGTACTGCGTCGACTCTAGTTGCGAAAGGTACTACTTTCAGCGACTGCGCACGTATTGCGTTTGTAGTAGTTGTGTTAATACAGTGGACAGTGTTGTGCTTACTTGTGTTTGGTGCAGTGTTAGACATTCGAGAGCAGCCAATAACATATCAGGTAATAACATTTAATTTTAATAGCCTAGATTATTGATTTGTTTATGTATATTTTTATAACTTTAGTAATAAGTTTAAATAAAAATAATTTATATATTATTAATTACATAATGTATATTTATTCAATACATTTTAGTGCTATATTTAACCAATAGAGGGAGTTATTTTTTATTTTTTTTGATGGGTGAAAATGGTATAGTAACACCGCCTGCGCTAACGGGATACGCTGGCGGAGCGACAGTGAAGGGTGATAGATGAGAATGAAAACAGGCCAGTTAGCCCATCATGATGAATTCATCAGGAATTAACCATGATAGTTTCCAGGGGGAACCGCGAGGAGGTCGACTTGGTTGGGTATATTGCTAGCAATAGGATTCTCAGTCTCCATTACTAACAATTGCTTTCCCCCCAGAGGGAGTTATTAAAAATATATATTGTTTTTATAGGGAAATAATTGTAACACTATATTTTAATTTTGTTTTTCATTACCAATTACCATTTGTTATAACAATTGCTGTCTAAAGGGGAGGCCTATGTCCAACAGTGGACATGTGTGCAACAGTAGATAATAGCTGAAATAATGATGATGATGGTAATTACAACTTTTTAACATACTCGTCCTACAGTGATTTTATTTCTTTTGGTGTTTCGGTTTTATTTTAACAGCTTATTAATTTTTTTTTTATCTAAAGAAAAAAAACCTTTTCAAAGACATTCTATGTATGAAACGCTTGACGAGTAAGTTCAACTCACACTTGGCCGGTTTTTTATTCCTTTTGAAGTATGGAACTCTAAAAATGGACACGGTAGGTTACAGTAGGGGACAGTCAACTAGTTTATTACAAAAAAAAAGATAGTTTAATCACCTGACTTTTCTCAGTTTCCAACTCGTCTTTCTGCTCGATTCGCTTGATGCGGCACGACGCTGCGTAACCACGATTTTTTAAAGTTCGCCGCCGTTGTTTCATTCTGGAACGTGTTTTATAATGATTGACGATGATGTCTTATGATGATGAAGAATTTTGCAGCAAAAAAAACCAGATATCCAAAATGTAAAAATACTAAGTTGTACATTAAATGTCTAATACAGTAAAAAAAAAAGTTTCATATGGTCCCGGCATAGAATGGCCTAGCCCTTCCTTTCCCGTGGGTGTAATAAGAGGCAACTAAGGGAAGATGAGGGATGGGCAGCAACATCTTTTTTTTTTATACCACTGAGGTGACAAACAAGCATATGGCCCACCTGACGGAAAGTGGTCTCTCCTAAAACTTCTCTAAAGTCTAACTGCAGCTGCCAATCCGCTAAGGAGAAGCTTATGTTCAGCAGTGGACAGTTAAAAGCTGACATGATGATGACAACAGTAAATAAGTTGTATTTTTATTATGTTTTATATAGAAAAAAAAAATAAACATCAAATTTTATGGAGATTAAATAAAAAAAAATTGTGTTTTTCTATTATGTGAATAAATCACCACCAATTAAATTAAATGCATTGATTATTTTATTAAACACTAGCTTTTACCAATGACTTTGTCCATGTGACCAGAATATGTTTACTGACTGGCATAAAAAGTAACTTATATAGTAGCTTATCCCTCTCCATCCCTTAAGGTGCACACCAAATTTCATAACAATTAGTTAAGCTTTGTTTTTGTATAATTCTAATTACTTCTACATAGTCAAACATCATACATGAATACATCTGTTTCACTTACAGGGTACAGAGGAATAACACCTGAGTTCTCAGGAATGGCAACGCATGGGGGGTATCATGGGCGAAACAGTATACCCTGTTATGTCCATGGTACTGCTCATGTCTATAGGCGACGGTTACCACTTTCCATCAGGTGGACCGTCAACTTGTTTGCCATTCTAAGTTATATAAAAAAAAACTTACTTTTTTAGAGTACATACGTATAATCATTATCGAAAGAAGATTGATCACAAGTAAATTTTAAACTGTCATATTGTTTACATATATTTTACAATTGACAATAGGCTAACAGACATTCTTTCAACCTTGCCTATCTATCATTCCTCACTTGTACCCCACCAGCATATACCGATAGCGCAGGCAGGGTTACAAAACCATTATCCGATCTTTAAAAAAAATATTGTGGCTCCATCTTAATTTTACTTACTACCTGCATTTTTAGCCTATATTTTTTAAGCTATCCATTCCCCATCTTTACCATCTCTCACCCTCCTAAAACACTCACAAGACGACATTATCCCCCACAAACCTATGATTTAGACAAAAAAAAAACCTGTAAATACCTAACAATTTGATCTCGTGTGAGGCCTCTCATCTTCAGCTGCCGGTTAAGATCTCGCACTGAGATGGAGACCAGCTCATCGTCGCTGATCTCCGCACACGGAGTCGGTGACAGTGGAGCCTGGGGAATAGTTATAATCACATTTATATAAGTCTTATAGACGGGATTTTATTAGAATAAAAGATTATTTATTTATTTATTCTTACATAGGACAGGCCTTTGCTACATTATATGTCACACCTCTCTCCCATTAGGGTAGGCAGAAACAATGGAATGCCAAATTCCTGACTGCCTTTGCTATAAGAAGGCTTATTATTATAACCATTAGTGTCATAAAATCATACCACATTACTAATCACCTGGTCCTCATACGTCCTCGTTTTTATAAGAAACCACGCAACGAATATATGAATGGCAACCCAAAATACAAAACAGAAAGTTCCCATATTAGAAATTTTATACAAATTAAACTCACCATTAGCGCTTTCCTCACGCTCAGCTCTTTTAAATCATGAGGCATAATAAGTTTTGGAGGACTCGAAATAGAACGGCGTCTACCGTTATTGTTCTACTTTGCAGTGGACGACAGTTAAGCAGAATTATAATATACTAAGAACAATTTATTTGATCTATAATAAAATAATATACGAATGTATTATTTACTAGGCACCTATTTAATGTTATTGACAAAATTGCAAAATAAAAATATAGCCATAAATTAGGTAAAACGGAATGAATGATGTGTTAATGACAGTAAAATGGACAGCAAAACTGACATTACTGACAGCCAGCAATATGATACAGATATTATTAAACCATCCATTTTCACTTCTATGCTCTTTGGTACTGATAGATAGAAATAAAAAAATACTTTATTAAAAACTCGTACTTGGGCAAATTTTAAAATAACCTTAGTCGTAACTTCTAAAAAATAACATTTTTATAAAAGTAATATTTAAGCAAAACAAAATAGGAACGCTTAAGCCCTACATACGTAAACCATTGACAAGCCCTTTAGTGTCGCTTTATTTTTTAATTATTTTGTTTTCTTATCTGTGAATATTCGAATGTATTTATTCTGTGTCCACTATTTCATAAAAAAAAAATAAACCAAGCTACAAATTACCACAATTTATAAACTTATTCATTTACACAGGTTTCTGAGTGTTTCAAGATGGCTAAAAGGAAGAATAAACCTCTTATCGACTCCGACTCCAGCAGCGAGTGTTCCGATTTAGAATCGGTAAGTTCCTATTTTAAAATTCCTAAGGTTAGATCACAACGTATTTCGTCGACATAATTTCTTGGAAACATCTACGTATTAAGGCCAAGATCAATGTTTCGCCGTTCTATATCCGTCTAATGCGCATTTATCGTAAAAACATTGGGAAAATAACACTCCAATTTGTAATTTCTCAATAGAAATCTCTTCAAGATATTTCAATGAGTTTTCACTCTGTAGAGCATTTACATTATTTACATCCGAAAGGAAGTTTACAACGGCCTAAAACCTCGTGAGTCATCTAAATTTGAATGAAAGTGCATATCAAAATACGTTACAGATAGCAATTACATATAGATAATTGATAAACACATTGATATTAGAGTTTGCTATAAATGAAATTTGTTGAGCTTTGATTAATCTGAAAAGTATCAAAAATTGTTAGGTAATCAACATATTTGTATAGTAATGGTGTTTCTATTATATAACTCAGGGCTTATACTTTCACTTTTCCTAATTTTTAAAACTAAAATCATTTGGCATTATATTCTGTACTGAATTTTTTATTTGTATCTAATCTCACATGGTTAGTGCACACTAACAAAAGTCAATTGCCAAAATCACTTTCTCAAAGAATTTTACTACTTTTATTGTGTTGTTGTTCTTTATGGTAGTTTATAAATGAGGCCTATGTCCAACAGTGGACAGATAATGGCTGAAATGATTGTCTTGCTACATACTGGACGATTCATACAAAACAAATACTTTCCCAAAAACAGAATCTTTTTAGCCTTATGTATGTTTAAATTGGCTTACTATAATATTAGTAATTAATCAGTATATGGAATAAATGTATATTGTAAGGTAAAATTGAAAAATAAAATATTTATATCTGTCATAACATAGTTTGCAATATGCTCTGTGGAAATGAGAGGTAGGATTGAAGTAAAGAATGACTGGTTGCACCGTATCAACCCTCCGATATTCTCCTATAAATCTTTTTTTCTATTTATCTATTTTAATTAATAAATGTTATTATATCCTAATTGAATATATCAATGGTAAACATAAATAGTCATCATTAGTGAAAAATAATGTCTCATATTAATTTATTTTGCTTCACTATATAATTTTAAGTGTTACGTTTTATATACTGTTAAATAATGCATTTACTTTATTTATAATTGTTTCATATATTGTATGCTTATATAGTAGGACATTTACCAGAGGTAGACTTTGTACAAAAGTCGATTGCTTGGGCACCTCTGTCCCATTCATGTTTCAACCGTGAAGCAGTTGAGTTTGCATGGCTGTGTTTCGGTTTGAAGGGTGGTATATGGTGTGAATTTACTGGGTACAGAGGAGTAACACCTGAGTCCTCAGGAATGGCAACGCATGGGGGGTATCATGGGCCAAACAGTATACTCTGTTGTCCATGGTACTGCTCATGTTTATAGGCAACGGTTACCACTATCCATCAGGTGGGCTGTCAGCTTGTTTGCCATTCTAAGTTGTATAAAAAAAAACATGTAGATACTATTTGATGTAATACCTTAATTTGACCTATGATCCACAATAAAGACATTTGTATTTGTATTTTTTTTTTTTTTTATCTATTATAGATAATTTTACTAGAATAAAATTGTAACTTTTGCACAACAGCAATTTTTGAATTTGGCGAAGAAAAAAAAGAAAAGTGATTCACCACCACCGGCACCTACCAAATCCAAAGGACAGTCATCAGGCAGTGAATCGGATTGGGATAATGATGATGATAATAAGAACAAATGTAAGTATTCTGATCAATTTCTCAATGACTATAATTAAATCATCTGTTTGTACATATTTTTATATGCTTTTATTATTATTGAAATATGGCTATTATTAAATTTTATAGAAAAATTAAAAAAAAAATCACCAACTTACAATTTTCTTTTTAATATGGCCCAAAATTAAATTCAATTTATATATCTCTTCAACACAGGAGAGGAATAATAATACAATTTGCTTGAAATTGCTATTATAACCTTCCAGCATTGATCCCCGATCATGATAATGAAATAACCTGTTCTTTACAGCTAAATCCTCATCATCATCCAGCTCTGGATCGGAAAGTGATGCCGGGAGCAATGTGTCGAGTCAAAAAGAGCAACCAAGGAAAAGGAAAGCATCGTCAGAACATTCTGATGATGCAAAGAAAAAACCGGATGTGAAGAAAAGTGAAGTTCGGACGAGCATAGATAGTGCAGGGTCCGCAAAGAAGAAAGATGAATACAGTGAACCAGAAGAAGGTAATTTAACATGTTTCTATGGTGAAATTACAGTGCATGGAAGCATAACACCCTTATCCCCAAAAATGGCAACATATGAAGGGTATCATGGATGTAGCGATTCAAACATGCAATGCATTTTATAATGGTAACCTTCTATAAACATAAACAGTGCCATGGACATAACAGAATATACTGAGTTGCCTATGATACTCCTCATGCATTGCCATGTTTTATGCCTCCATAACCTGTAATTTTACTGCCATATCCCACTCTTCAAATTTATTGTTATTTATTGTGATCAATGCTGAACATATGTTTCTTTTTTTTTTCTTCTATAACTTGGTCCTTTACTTGAAATTGCCATGAAACTATATACTTTTTTTTTAGGTGAAGTGTCATCACACTCGTCGGACAATGACTCCATCGATTCTGAAGAGGAGTTTGATGATGGGTATGTAACTTTTATATATATATATATTTCTATTATTTAATTCCTTTTAAAATCTATCAATTTCTTCTTACAAACATTACCCCTGCGCACTTACATATTTTACCTCACAATTCAAATAAAACTATTAATTTCTTACAAATATTACCCCGACGCACTCACATTACCTCGACTTGAAAATTTTAAATTGACTCACGTTTACGATTTCACTGAAAAATTAAACGTATTCTAATATTATAATTGTGAACATTATGTTGACCTGTAACTAATTTGTATTTACTATTGTAATAGGTATGATGAGAATCTCATGGGTGATGAAGAAGACAGAAAACGACTGGCAGCCATGTCTGAGAAGGAGAGGGAGCAGGAGATTTTCAAACGTATTGAAAGGAGAGATCTACTCAAAACCAGGTACATAAATACCTGGTGTGATTTTATTTATATGCATTTATTATTTCCCCTCTCACTATTTACCTCTGACTAGACCTTCGGATAAGAGCCCGAATAGAGCATCGATATACGATGGTGAATCACCATTGAGCGATGATAGATGAAAATGGAAATAAGTCTGTCGGTTCAGCGAGACAAATTCATAAAGAATTAATCATGATGGTTTCCAAGGGGGTTTACATTGAGCTCGAATTGTAAAAGTATATAATTTTTTTAATGCATGATTAATGGAATGGTAACCCCGCCTGCGCTAACGGTATACGCTGGCGGAACACCAGTGAGGGATGATAGATGAATAATGAAAAAAGCAGGTCAGTCAACCCATTGTGATGAATACACCTGGAACTCAACACGGTGATTTCTAGGGGGAACCGCTTGGAGGTCGACCTTACAGGGTATATTGCTAGCAATGGGTCTAGTAGCCCGCATTACTAACGATCCCTACCCTCCTGTAAATGTATATTGTTAGCATAAGGGACTATTGTTTATTTATTTACATTTTATTGCACCACTTATAGAATAGTAAATACATTTAATTGTAATGAGAAATGATACAAAAGGCGGCCTTATCGCTAAGCAATCTCTTCCAGACAACCTTTGGGTAGAGGACATTGAGAAAGAAAGAAAGAAAAACAAACGATAGGTGGCGTATTATTATAAATACATATATATATATATATATATATATATATATATATATATATATATATATATATATATATATATATATATAGGGAGAGATAATGGGATTTAACAGAAGTTTTGAAGCTAGTGAGAGATTGAGCGCACTGTATAGAGGTAGGCAGTGAGTTTTACAGGCGAACTGCCTGCACAGTAAAGAAATTAGATAAATGGAAGTGGAGTGAGTGGGAAATTTGAGACAGAGGCTGTTGACACTGCATGAAGTATGGCCATTGGCCTCACTGAGCTACGCAAATTGGTCTTTAAGATAATCAGGAACAATGGGGTTAAACAGAATCGCGTAAAGAAGAGATCGGATATGTAAAGGGATTATTAAACTCTAATTAATAACAATCCCTTTCCTTCTGTTACTAATGTATTAAGAAATTATACACGTTTGTTATTACAATATTACAATTGTAAGGATAAATAAATTGATTATTATACTTGTAAGGCTAAGGTTGAACATTGGGTGCAGGTGGGAGATAGAGCGCAAGCTGCGGCTGGCGCGGCGCTCGGCGGCGGAGCGCGCGGCGTCGCCCGCGTCGCTGGCGCGCCGCCGCGACGCGCGCCGCCGCCGCCACGCGCGCCAGCAGCAGCGCCAGCAGCAGCGCCAGCAGCAGCGGCAGCGAGACCGCGACCCGCTCCAGCCACGGGGTAATGCTCATTTTACTCATTCCACTGCCAATTTTATTCATTTCACTACTAATTTTATTCATTCGACTACTAATTTTATTCATTCCACTACTAATTTTATTCATTCCACTACTAATTTTATTCATTCGACTACTAATTTTATTCATTCGACTACTAACTTTATTCATGTGACTACCAATTTTATTCATTCCACTGCCAATTTTATTCATTCGGCCACTAATTTTATTCATTTGACTACTAATTTTATTCATTCGACTACTAACTTTATTCATGTGACTACCAATTTTATTCATTCCACTGCCAATTTTATTCATTCGGCCACTAATTTTATTCATTTGACTACTAATTTTATTCATTCGACTACGAATTTTATTCATTCACCTACCAATTTTACTAATTCGACTACTAATAATTGCAGTCACTATATGCTTCTACTATTCGCTAAAATTATTCATTAGTATTTATTCATGTTTATGTCTGTAAGAATGTGGTCAAATCAACCAACTTAACTGCAGTTAGGCTTTGGTGATGTTTTAAAAGGACTGCCGCTGTCCATCCTTTGACCATTTAATTATATCACTTAATAATTCCATGTTGACATTATTTAATAGATGAAAGTAGAGCAAATAAAGTTATTTATAAAATAAGATTTTTCCATATAGAAACTGAAGAGGAACCGCCTAAAGAGCCAGAGGTAGAGAAAGAAAACCCGCAACCTAGTCCTGGTGAAATCTTGGATGACGCTAAAGATGCAGGTAACGATAGGAGAAATGAAACGTGTTTGAAAAAAAAACTCCTAAATAATGTAACTCATGGCTTAGAGCTGGTGTTAGTGATAATTTATTAATAGAATTTAAAAATAAGTAATTTATTTTCCTAAAAAAAAAAACTTGTATTACCAAAAAGCAGAGAATAAATTGAAATTTTTGAAATTAATGAACTAGTTTAATGGAATGAAATACGTTGATTAAAATGCTGTGTGAAATTGAATACTTTATTTTTTTTTTTAATCTACGACTAACTTTTTCGATTCTAAATTTGATTTTTTTTTTATCCAGAGTCGTCGGATCGCGCTGCCAGTCCGCTGTTCGGTGCTAAAACAGAAAGGAAACGGAATGTGGACGACCGGAGACAGAATGCAATGGCCGCCCTCCGAGCACAGAGGGACGCTCGTGCGACCAGGGACGAGCACAACCGCCAACGGAAGCGGCTCGAAGAGGAGAAGAACAAGGACAAGGAAGACGATGACGTGAGTTTAATATCTTTTTAGTAGAATAGAATTATTATTGTGTTTAACTTAAAAAAAAAAATAAGACTTTAAATGATTTATTTTCATTTTAAGACCAAACAACTGAATCGATTTTGATAATGTCTCTTGGGTACCAATCTGTAAGTGTAAATATCGTTTCAGATAAAAAAAAAAATTTCTAAATTGATTTACAATTGATGGAGAAATGAGGTAACAAACATAGAAACCAAACTGAAGGTCTTCTGTTTGAAAGTCGGTTGAAAATTGTGATTTAATCATGTCTGTGTATGGGAGATTGTCATGAAAAATTGATGTAAAAGAAATAAAGGCCAAATACAAAAATTTTTGAATTCATTTTTAGGCCTATGTTCATCAGTGTACAGTTAACCCTTTTAGTGCCGGGCGAAATAGAGGTGCCCATGCGAAAAAAACCGGCCGAATTTCACAATTTTACAAGGAACAGGAAAAACGTCGTCCACAAAGAGTTCAAACAAAAAAAATTTTTTTTTTTAATTATCTTTTAATGAAATTAGATCATTTGTAACGTATTACAATTTATTTTGAGATAGAGTTCTCCCGCAATGCGAGTAGTAAACCGCTACAAGGCGCAAGCCGATATTATCGGCTCTGGCACTTTTCGCAAGTGTAAAAGGAGCCGGTATATCGGCTCCCGGCACTAAAAGGGTTAAGGGCGATATCATGAGAAATATAAAATTTATTTATTTATTTATTTATTTATTGGAAAACGTACAGCTGAATTACAGTCAATACATAATCGAATTTATATCTATGTTAAGCCATGAATCGTTTTCACATTTGTGAATTATAGTCTATAAGTGGGTATAAAGATCTGAGATAATGCTTGTTCACAGGACGCCGACGCGGAAATCATTGGTGGAACAAGCAAGCAAAGTGTCAAGCTGAAAGCCTCGGATATATACTCGGACGACTCAGGGTCCGATTCAGAGGATAATAAATCTCAAGGTAATTAATTTGTTACAATAATCTTAACATTAGATACAAATACAAAATTGTTGTTTCGAAATAATGTTCAGAAAAAGTTAATAGGTCTTTTATGGGAATGGGCATTAAATGTTATAATAAAATACTGAAGGATATTTTGGATTTTTTTATACAACTTAGAATGGCAAACAAGCTGACGGCCCACCTGATGGAAAGTGGCAACCGTCGCCTATAGACATGAGCAGCATGGACATAACAGAGTATACTGTTTCGCCCATGATACCTCCCATGCGTTGACATTCCTGAGGACTCAGGTGTTATTCCTCTGTACCCAGTAAATTCACGCCATATCCCATCCTTCAAACCGAAACACAGCCATGCAAACACAACTGCTTTACGGTTGAAACACGAACGGGACAGAGGTAGCCAAGCAATCGACTTTTGTACAAAGTCTCCCTCTGGTTGGATGATGTTATTCTATCACTATCCTCTCCATATTATATGATATCGCTGAACCATTAAGGCCATTTGTAAATGTCATTATAAATTACCTAATAATCTTCTGAATGTACCAGGCCGCCGCAGCTCATCGAGTTCTTCCTCGTCCGGTGGAGAAGAAGAGGAAAAGAAACGGGAAGAAGTTGAGATCAAGTACGCAGACACACGGGAGCAGATAAACAAACTTAGGTTAAGCAGGTATGTATACACTTTTTTTTTTATAACACGTCTATGTATTTTATTTTTTCTAGTATTTTATCTAGCAGGTATATCAGTGAGAATGAAACCACGCCATCTTAGCCTATCTTGACGAATTCCACAATAATTAACCATGATGGTTAACAGTGAAACCACATAGAGATGGATCTAGCAATGGGGTTTTTATTCCATTACTAACAATCGTTTCTTCTTATATATATAAAATTACATATGAATGGAAAATGCTGGTGTTGTACAGGTTCAAACTGGAGCGGCTTGTCCACCTTCCGTTCTTCGCACGCGTCGTCAATGGCTGCTACGTGAGGATCGGCATCGGGAACAACAACGGCAACCCAGTATACAGGGTGAGTAGACATCCCCTTTATATATTGTTAAGGAAAGTGGCTGATTTACATTGTAGCTATGTTAGCACAAGTGGAAGCGAAAGTAATAATATGAGACCTAGGCTGGGCACGGGTTCTAAGTCCCATAAAAGAAGTTTGTATGTCAAAATGGTACGGACTCACCTTGACTGCAGATTTAGCGTATGCGGTACACGCTCAGGATGCACCAGGTATCAGGAAGTCACGCCACGTGAATGTCACAATGGCGCTGATCTATTTTGGTCTACTTGTGAAAACCATACTATATATGTTGGGTAAACAATCACCAGCGACACTTGGGAACGATAATAGGGAATGTCCAGGGGGTTCACGAGTTCTCCACACAGTAAATAGGCACAAACAGCAACCCGTTGGGAGGAAAGGGATTGATACTAATGGAGACTGAGAATCCCATTGCTAGCAATATATCCAACCAGGTCGACCTCCTCGTGGTTCCCCCTGGAAACTATCATGATTAATTCCAGATGAATTCATCATCATGGGCTAACTGGCCTGTTTTCATTCTTATTGATCACCCTTCACTGGTGCCCCGCCAGCGTATCCCATTAGCGCAGGCGGGGTTACCATTCCATTTTCATCCAATAAAAAAAAAACAGCAACCCGTTGCAGAGTGCTACGCGATAGACGGTGGACTTGGGCCGGACCATTTGTCTGTTTTTCTTATGTCAAGGGAATCGGTAGAATATTACACGATTGGAGGGTATTATGATATTTATAGGGATGTGACTTCCTTAAACATATATTAATTTTGACATACATTTATGTATTAAAATAAAATAAAATAAATAAAAAATTAATTTCATATTTTATTAACATGTATGGGTAAGAGCGGTCTGTTTACACATTATGTAGCCTCTAGTATGGGAAATTAAAATTTTTTGCCCTGTCGCAGGTGGCAGAAATAATCGATGTGTACGAAACGGCGAAAGTGTACAACCTGGGCAGTACGAGGACCAACAAGGGGCTGAAACTGCGGCACGGCACTCAAGACAGAGTGTTCAGACTCGAGTTTGTTAGTAATCAGGTAATTGTGCCTGCTATATGCTACACAGAGGGAGACTTTGTACAAACGTCGATTGCATGGGTACCTCTGTCCCATTCGTGTTTCAACCGTGAAGCAGTTGTGTTTGCATAGCTGTGTTTCGGTTTGAAGGGTGGGATATGGCGTGAATTTACAGGGTACAGAGGAATAACATCTGAGTCCTCAGGAATGGCAACGCAGGGGGTATCATGAGCGAAACAGTATACTCTGTTATGTCCATGGTACTGCTCATGTCTATAGGCGACGGTTACCACTTTCCATCAGGTGGGCCGTCAGCTTGTTTGCCATTCTAAGTTGTATAAAAAAAAAAAAAAAACACACATTTATTGATTTGACCTGATAATTGTTTGAGAATTGTTTTTTTTTTTTTTTTTTATTATTCTATAATTTTAATAATCACTAAGTTAAATTTGTATTTTTATTTGAGCAATAAATTAGTGCAGCCTAAAATTTTAAGGCAATTAAACAGATGCCAAAAAGTTTTGTCACATGGCCCTTATAATGTCAAATGTCTGTTTAAAGCGAATAAATATTTCATTTCATTTCATTTTATATTTATTTTTATTTTATATTTATTTTAATTATTATTTTCACGTACCCTCAAATGGGTTAAAGCTGAAAATCAGTGTTTTGTTCCTTTAACAATGTTACACGCCGAGCTTCGACCTTTTTGTATTACTGCAGATCACACATAATAACACAATTTTATAAATCTTATGTTGTTTTATGTATTATCTATTCTTATGTACATGTTGTGTGTGATTAGTAACAAACAAATAAACGATCTATCTATCTATCATATAATTGTGATCATTTTGTATCAGCCTTTGGTCATCCACAGCTGAACATAGGACTTTGTTGTTTAAACAAAATGTTTTCTTTTCAGGAATTCACAGAGAGCGAGTTCCAGAAATGGTATAAAGCAATAAAGGAAGCTAACAAGAAGCCACCCACCATGGACTTTGTTAGAAATAAAATAAGCGAAGTGAAAGAAGCTCTTATGTATGAGTTTAAGGTATGTAATAGTGTAGATTTAGACGTGATTTTTTTTATGTATTGTTCTCTTTATTTGTAATTGTCTATGTTATTTCTAGATTGGTAGTTAGGTCTTCTCTAATTGTATAATTGTTACTTAGTGTACATTGACGCTTATCTGTGAGAGCTGTATACACATTTAATTGATGTGTTCGTATGGCCTTAAGCTTGGTAGTGAGGAGTGAGATGTTTTTGTTCAAGCTAAGATTTAAGCATTTTTTTAAAAGTTGTTTTTCTCTTTTACTTACTAATAACATTGTATATTGTTCGCTTAATTATTGTGAGCATATTCTTGGTGTGTCTTTTATAAATAAATAAATAAATATTCAATATTTTTTTTTTTTATACATACAGGAAGAGGATATAGAGAAAATGGTAGCCGAAAAGGAGAGGTTCCGTGCACATCCCACCAACTACGCCATGAAGAAGACTCAGCTCATGAAAGAGAGGGATGTGGCACAACTCAGGTATGGTACATCATTTCAAGTCTTACTGTACATTAAGCTTCCCCTTTAAAAAGAGTTTTGCTAGTAGTTGCCACGCTTGGCAGGTGGGTTGGTAACCACAGTTAGACTTTTAGAGATGTTTTAAGTAGGACATTGCTGTCTCTCTACCATTAAGTTCTCACAGTTGCCTCTTACAACACCCACAGGAAAGGAAGGGGTAGCCTATTTTAACAAATTGACATTTATAATGTTAGTAGAACATGTTTAAATAAACCATGTTTTTTATTTTGTTTAACAGAGGCGATGATGAACTAGTACTGGACTTGAACGCGAAAATCCAAGAGCTGGAGGACCGTGCCAACCAGCTGGACAAGACTAGAACGTCATCTATTCAGAGTATATCTTACATCAATAATAGGAACAGAAAACTCAATGTGGAGACCGCTGAGAAGGCTATCATGGAGGAGGTTTGTAACGTTTTATTTTTAATTTTAATAGGGTAGAGGATAGGTAGTACAATATAGATATATAATATATTATTATCGTCAACATACACACTACACAACAATTAGTACATGTTTGCGCACGTACACGCACACATACACTCACACGCACGCACACATACACTCACAAGCATGCACACATACACTCATACACACGCGCACGCATACACAAGCACACACACACACACACACATGCATGCATGCACACACACGCTTGCATGCATTTAGATATACTCATTACTAATACAAGATAAAGTTTATGTCTTACTTTTATGGTACTATGATTTGTATTTTCATGGTTATGGAGGAGCGTGACCTTCTGATACAGGTGATAACACTTACTAGATGGTCACAGAAACTATCTTAGTATTATATCAATTTTGTTACAAAATAAATATTTTTTCGTTTTCATCATTATTTTGAGCCTTTCATTGAAACGTGATTGAAAACTTTCCACTTGACAGGTGAAGGCGAATAAAGGTAAAAAGACAGATGACCCCTTCACGAGGCGGCATACTAAACCAGTAATGAACTTCAAATCGCATCAAAGCAACAGGAGTCAGGTCAGTACCTTTTTTTTTTGGTGGATAAAAATGGAATGGTTACACAGCCTGCGCTAACGGGATACGCTAACGGGATACGCTGGCGGAGCACCAGTGAAGGGTGATAGATGAGAACGAAAACAGGCCAGTTAGCCCATCATGATGAATTCATCAGGAATTAACCATGATAGTTTCCAGGGGGAACCGCGAGGAGGTCGACCTGGTTGGGTATAGCAATGGGATTTTTAGTCTCCATTACTAACAATCCCTTGCCCCCCGGTCAGTACCATTGTCTATTGTCAACTTAACATAGGTCTTCACTATTGACTGCCATCGCTAAGTCTTGAGCCACCTTCGTTCACCGACTCCCAGCAATACATACAATATATTTGCTGCTGTTACTACGCGCCCTCTAATGGCAGAAATTTAAAATATCTTTGCCCTCATAATCAGTTTGTCTTTCTCTTCTAGTTTTATGCTATTTCCGGACACTTTTATTAACAACATAATGGCAAACCAGCTCCACCAAACCAGAAATAAATATAAACGACGCTTACCGAAAGAATTCAGACTCATATGCAATTCGAATTTACAGGAATTATTACGAAACGAAATAGCTGAAGCCGAAGCGCAGAAGCAGAGAGAAGAAGACGAGAGGGTAGCTAAGGAGAGACAAGAAAAAGAGAGGCTTGTCGCGGCCGTGAGTATTCTTTATATATCACTTCTGTATATGTGTGTGTATTTATCACTGAACTCCTCCTGAACCGATTTCGATGAAATATTGTGTATCAAATCAGCGTTTCTTTTTTATTTTTCAAATGCAAAAACATACAGCAACAATGTTTCACTTTGACTGAAACTGAAATTTTTTTTTGTTTTTCACTTATTAGCATCTCGAAGAGTCGAACCAATTTGAAATGCTTATTTTCATTAGTGGACAGTTAAAAGCTCATTTGATGATGATGATGATGATGATGAACATATAATAATAAATAAATAATGTTTACACAGCAACAGAAAGAAGACAAAACGAAAGGCAAAGACAAGGAGAAGCCGAGTTCGACAGACAATGCGAGTCTGTATTCCCTCCACGACTTCGAAATCAACATAGAATTGGACTTACCTGTTGCTAGTGAGTATCATTATTTACTTTTTTTTTCTTGTAACAAAAAATCTGTTAACAGCTAATATACTGTTGGTGATCTTGTTCCAAATATAAATAAACAAATAGTAAATTTAATAAGTAATAATTTAACAAGTAGTCAATTAAGTAAATTTAATTATAAACATTTTTTTTTGACAATATATATGTATATAATTAACGCCATTATTTTCAATTCACAGAAATAGTAACCACTCAACCGAAACAGTTGACGACAAAAGTGAAAGAGACCGGACCAAAACGGTCTCTGAACCTCGAGGAGTACAAGAAACGCCACGGGCTCATATGAGCCTTATTCACAACGAACAGACAAAATAAGTGTTTGTGATTATAGCTTTACGTGGACGGTTCCGTTTGGTACGCGGTTGTGTTCGTTCGTAGACGTGTTGGTGATAATTCTAAACGTTGTGGTAATGTGTGAAAAAATTTATCACACTGGTTAAACTCATTGTATTAATGCTAGTAGCTGTAATAGAAAAAAATACCACATTGATTAGATTTGTTTTATTCTAGCTGATTACCACGTTAGTTAGATGTGTGGTAATTTAGTGGATTGCCACGTCGGATAGTTTCATTTTAATTAATCTAGCAAATCCAAATGGAATAAATACATTTTACTCTAATGAATTACCATGTCGGTTAGGTCCGTTTTACAACTTATTAAACAGTTTGCCATTTCGGATTACTTATAATTAAAATAATCATATTTAACCGGTGTAGTAATGAACTAAATTAAAATTTGTCTATCCGATGTGGTAATTCGACTAAATCAATTATTTAACATTACAGTTAGATTACTTTTTTACGCATCGGACAAATCGCTAGTTAGTATCATTGCAGTATATTACTGATAGTTATAATTTATGGTATGGTATTATAACAACAATAGTCGTTGTTGTTATAATACCACGTCGCTTAAACTTATACCTCCTTGCTTTTAAAAATAGCTCTATATTGTAACTAACGCCTAAATTTGATTGTAATCTGCACGTTTTAGCATGGTACACATGACAAGAAAAAATTTAAAAATAAATAGAAAAAATAAATGTGTATCATACTAATTCAACTAAACATTTATATGTATAGAACTTGCAGCCCGTCTTATTGGAAACGGTCGTTGTAGCCTATGGGACATCTACAAGATTAGGGGGGGGGGGCACCCCATTGTGTAGTCTAAGAAAAACGCAACCGTTGAAGTTTTAGTGTATGAAAATGAATTCAGTTGCAATAAAACTGCAATACAATTCTTTTACTAACAAAATGTCATATTGTCACTCGTATCTTACTTCAACGTGCAGAATATAATTTTATATTTATTTTAAATTTATACAAAATGAAAAATACCACATTGGTTAGATTTGAAAATAAAATATTTATACATGTATAAGAGACAGGTTGGCTAAAACTGAAACAGCTAATTCAAATCTTTATTCTAAACTGAGAACCATTCTCTCCGGAAAATTACAATTTTTTCCCCTATTTTTTTCTTTTAAAATCATATATTCTATTATTCGTCTGAATCAGCCTTTTTCGTATTGGCCAACCTGTCCCTTCCACCCCGTATATTAATTACTAAATACATGTATACTTGGCGTTTGATAAGTGAGGAGGTTTTTTTTATAAATAATTGTTTTTTTAATAATTTATATTTTCTTATCACTAGTATTTGTGGTATAAATTACCACTAAGCATCATTGTCACTTTGTATCTCATCTTACATATTGCTATGTTATATTTATACTGTAATGTAGGTGATATAATTAATTAAAAACGATGATGATAAAACAAAATTATTTATTTCCTAATGAATTAGTTGACTTTTAAACCTGAGAAGTTTTAGTATACGAATACTCGTGTGGTCCCGGCGTAGAATAGGTCTCCCTTTTATTTCCCGTGTGTATCGTAAGGGGCGACTAAGGGTACTTAATGGTCGAGGAATAGGTAACAGCATCCTCTTTAAAACGTCCCTAAATATGGAATCTAGCAGCCCCATTGATGGTAATATAGCCTATCAGGTCGACCTCCACGCGGTTCTTTCTGGAATCCATTTTTTATAAATGAATGTCAATGGAATGGTAACCCCGTCTGTGCTAACACTATATATTGGCAGGCCACCAGTGAGGGATGATAGGTGAGATGGAAAGGTAGGCCAGTTGGCCACCAGAACAGGTTTCAGCACGATGGTTCCCAAGTGGGACCACGTGGAGGTCGACCTAACAGTGTATATTGATAACAATAGGACTAGTCCGCATTATTAATAACCCCCCCCCCTACCCTCCTAGGAACCATTGTGGTTAATTCTTGCGGAATTCGTCACGATGAACTAAATGACCTGCTTTTATATATTTCAATGATGCCCCGCCAGTATATACCGATAGCGCCATGGGTTCCATTCCATTCTCACCAATTAAAAAAAAACTACGATCTTCAGGAATGGCCCAGTATAAATTCCATGCTAACCGTGGAAGTCACAGTTTATTCTGGGGCATACCTACGAGTATAAGAATTGTATGCAATTTTAATTTGCTAAAAAATTAGGTATTACCATTTTATTATTTTAATACTAAACTAGAATTCAATCAACTTTATTTTTTGTCTCAGCAAATTGTTAGTGACCTTATGACGCGTACGTATGTACCTAATTGCGATCTAGTGGGGGGAAAGGAATTGTTAGTAATAGGGTCCAATAACCCATTACTAGCAATATATATATATATATATATATATATATATATATATATATATATATATATATATATATATATATATATATATGTCAGGTCAACCTCCACGCGGTTTCCCCTGGAAACCATCGTGGTTAATTCTAGTTGAATTCGTCACGATGGGCTAACTGACCTGCCCTTTCATCTCACCTATCATCCCTCACTGGTGCTCCGTCAGCTTATACCGATTGCGCAGACGGGGTTACCATTACATTAACATCCATATTCGACTTCAAAGCCAGGGATTGATAGAATATAGAAAGATACTCTTTATTGTTCCCTCCAAAAGATTACAATAGTAAAATTATTATAAATACAAACAATTACAAGAAATAATCACAATGAGAAAACAATGGGCGACCTTATCGCTAAGAGCGATTTCTTCCAGGCAACCTTTGGATGGAGAGGAGTAATTATGAACAGTTTGTTTGAAGGCGCGATGAAACTTCTAGAGGTCTGCCATGAAATGAAATTCCGAATTTTCGAACTCCATTTCGTATTTCTGTTCATACCGTCATCATAAATTCTACAATAAAAGTCCAAACGAACGTTATTTTAATATTTAACATCAAATTTGTGTTTCGTTCGGCCACGAAATTTCGGAAAACATTTTATGGTTGGCCTTCTATTTTTAAATACATATGAAGATGCAAATCCACGCAATAATGTAACTATATATTCCTACTCATGATATTCTTAGTATGCAAAATAAATAAAAAACAAAATTATATATTTAGCCATATTTTATTACTAAGTAAATTTTTTAACGAGGCACATTCTATTCTATGTATCGCTTTAGAAATAAGTTAAAAAACTAAACAATAATCAACTTAAACTTTATTTATTTAATGACACGAGTTTAACATTCTAATTCCATGATTTTGTTACCATAATTCTTGTCTAGTACGACAACTTTAGAGTTCGAATAGAAACCGATGGTGATTGTTTCCTTGGACACCTTACTGTTGCTAAGTCCACCGCTGGACATCACGGCCCTGATGTCTAATGCCCAGAAGTGGTGTCCTTTGAACGTATCGGCATAGTTCACAGCTGACTGGCCGTTCAACGAAGCATCATACTCGATTTCGACTTGTATATAACCTCTGGTCGCTTGCAATGAAGCGACAACAACTTGACCAGGCTGCAGGAGGATTTCCATGGCTGACGACGCGCCAACAGTGACACTCTCAGATTTCTCAGTGTTCTCGCCAAACGAGGAAGTGTAAGAGAGAGATGTAGTGCCTCCTCCGTTCGCAACTTCGATATCGAATCCATAGTTTATCTCCTGGCCGACGGACAATTCGCCACCCTTGCTCCATGAAGACGAGACAGTATTCTCAACGGTCTGTGAGATCCCAACGTTGAAGAGAGCCGGTTTAGAGCTGTTATTCTCGAAGATTTGCTCCAAAACGATGACCGGTTTGGAGGTGATCTTCAGTATTTTGCCGTTCCGTGGCTCCAGGGTTCTGGCGACCTGGCTCCAGCCATAGGTCTTGTACAAATCGCCCCATGGTGTTGGACTCCGAAGGAACGCGTCGTCAGGACGAAGTCCGAAGTAGGAGCGCACGCTGTTCTTGAGGTTGTTATCATTAAGTTCGAAGGTGTTCCGCTCTTCGTCGCTGATGATGCCGACCTGGTTGCCGGATGTGTAGACCCTCATCGATGATGGGTCATCAGCGTTGAATTTACCAGAGACTTGCACTTGAATGTTCGCCAGTGCAAGCGACGGCAACAAAAAAAGCAACAACACCGCCATTTTGAATCTGTAAAAGAATTATTTGAGTTAAATTTTATTTTATAATAAAAAATTGATTATTGTGTAAAAATTAATTATTGTAACATTGGATTTTATGCCCAGCACTGGGCATGATTTACACTAAAGAGTCCTGAAAATTATTTAAATAGAAACAACATCAAATTATTAAAAATAAGAAATAACAATTGATAAATTAATAATTAAAAAAATAAAGAACTAAGTCGAGTGTTACGACGAAAGTAATGTCTCCGACTACACTGTTACGGATTTGAGTCGAGAACATATTTTTTTTAGTAAAAAAATAATTAAAAATCAATATAACAATTGATTTTATAGGCTCATGCCAACACTTGTTTGATTTTTCAAGTATAAACATGAAAATACTGTATCTATGGTTACATTTATAATACGTACAGCGGTAGTGTCGGAAATAGTGACGCCCAGTTGCTCTGTAACAGTTCTCACTGACACCTAGCAAGGCTGCGAATGACAGTGATCGAAAAAAAAAAGTTTATATATCGTATAATTGAAATTTATGTTGTAGTCATATACTGCGAACAGAACTATTTTAAATATATCTAGAATAATTTATTTTTTATTGCAATAAAATCAAAATATTAAGTTTTTGACAAAATCTTAACCATCTGCCCTTATTTCAATTTCACTTCTAATATATAACCTATATTCAAGTAAATAAAGTTATCATTCATTCATTTATTTATTTGAAATCAACGAAATATGTCTTATAGGGGGGAAAGGGATTGTTAGTAATGGAGACTGAGAATCCTATTGCTAGCAATATACCCAACCAGGTTGACCTCCTCGCAGTTCTCCTTGGAAACTATCATGGCTAATTTCTGATGAATTCATCATGATGGGCTAACCGGCCTGTTTTCATTCTCATCTATCACCCTTCACTGGTGCTCCGCCAGCGTATCCCGTTAGCGTATCCCGTTAGCGCAGGCGGTGTAACCATTCCATTTTCATCCACCAAAAAAAAAGGTACTGACCTGACTCCTGTTGCTTTGATGTGACTTGAAGTTCATCACTGGTTTAGTATGCCGCCTCGTGAAGGGGTCATCTGTCTTTTTACCTTTATTCGCCTTCACCTGTCAAGTGGAAAGTTTTCAATCACGTTTCATTGAAAGTCTCAAAATAATGATGAAAATGAAAAAATGAAAAATATTTATTTTGTAACTAAATTGATACTAACCATTTTCACTCGTCAAAAAAAAATTATATATACTCGTATATTACTAACGACCAATGACGTACCCAATGAGTCATATTTTTTTGTTCTTTGTCCACTGCTGAATATAAGCCTACCCCTTGAGAGGATTTTGCCAGTAGTTGCTACACTTTGTTTTTTATCGAGGGGAAAATCTTCAGAAAGAGACCCACCGTCATCCCGCTGGCGGTGGGTCTCTTTCTGAAGATTTTGCTGTGGGATTTTTACCCACTAAAAACCACCTCGGTATTCCTCTCAGCGCCGTGTGCCGATGACTGGGGCTCGCGATTTGCAGTCGTCCTAATCACCGACGGCGCCACCCCATGACAGGGCCACTCCGAGTGGCGGGCCGGGAATAGTAGTCGCTACACTTAGCAAACGAATTACCAAACGGGCAGTTAGGCTTTAGAAATGTTTTAAGAAAGACGCTACTGCTTCTCCCTCGCCCTCCATTAGTCGCCTCTTACGACGCCCACGGGAATGGAAGGGGTGGCCTATTCTATGCCGGGACCACACAGTAACGGGACCATTATTTCGCGAGTATTACAATTCGTGAGTAGGAAACATGTCAATTCCAATATCGATCAATAATCAATATCCCATTACTAACAATCCCTTTCCCCCCAATAGGGGGGAAAGGGATTGTTAGTAATGGGATCAAATAGCCCTATTACTAGCAATATACCCTGTCAGGTCGACCTCCACGTGGTTCCCGCTGGAAACCATCGTGATTAATTCTAGTTTAATTCGTCACCTTCACTGGTGCCCCGCCAGTGTATACCAATAGCGCAGACGGGGTTACCATACTATTATCTCCAATTAAAAAAAAAATATCGATCTATTGGAATTTATTTCAAAATTAATCTCACAGATGATCTGTCATCATCGGTGATGAGCCACCATCTTGGCATTCCTAATTCAAAAATAAAATCTAGACATTACGTTAAACGTACAAAAGAATAATATACCAACGACAAGACTGCAACATGACGAAAATATTAATAAACACAATTTTATGAATACGCAGCTCGTATTCTCTTGTTTTCGAGTACTGCCAACTCAGCTGCCTCCATTATTTCTCAATTGCAGAGCATTATAGAAATTAGAACAGCTTCGCTTGCTAATTCTATGTTTCGATGATTTGTGTTTTGCCCATTCAATTTATGTTTAAAATGACTATATTCGAATAATTACTTACTTATTTATATTTCCAAATTAAATAACTGAATGGATTTTGATAAATTTTCTATTTGATCAATCTGTAAGTATAGATACTAGATATTTACCAGAGGGAGACTTTGTACAAAAGTGGATTGCTTGGGTACCTCTGTCCCATTCGTGTTTCAACCGTGAAGCAGTTGTGTTTGCATGGCTGTGTTCCGGTTTGAAGGGTGGGATATGGCGTGAATTTACTGGGTACAGAGGAATAACACCTGAGTCCTCAGGAATGGCAACGCGTGGGGGGTATCATGGGCGAAACAGTATACTCTGTTATGTCCATGGTACTGCTCATGTCTATAGGCGACGGTTACCACTTTCCATCAGGTGGACCGTTAGCTTGTTTGCCATTCTAAGTTGTATAAAAAAAAAAGATAAAAACAAGAATTTTTCACATCGTATTAGAACTGATGTAGTCATGAGATAACAGTAAAAAAAAAGCATAAAAATTTGTCGTGTGGTCCCGACATAGAATGGACCACCCCTTCCTTTCCCGTAGGTGTCGTTAGTGGTGACTAAGGGAACTGAGTAGTCGAGGGATGGGCAACAGCGTTCTTGTTGAAACATTACCAAAGCCTAACTGCGGTTGCCAGGGGGAAAAGGAATTGTTAGTAATGGGACTACATTAGACTTAATGGGTCCATTAGACTTAATTGACCCATAGCAATACACACTATCGGGTCGACCTCCACGCGGTTTCCCCTGGAAACCATCGTGATTATTTCTAGTGGAATTCGTCACGATAGGCTAACTGACCTGTTTTCATCGTCACCTATCATCCTTCACTGGTGCCCCGCCAGCGTATACCAATAGCGCAGGCGAGTTTACCATTCCATTATCACCTATTACAAAAAAAAGTAGGTCTGTTAGAATCCATTACTAACATCTCTTCCGCCCAATATATAATATATAAACTAATATTTTGCAGTAAACTCATCCAACTAACACCAAATACTTTTTACTTTGACAATTAAGTAAATAGTTTTTTTTTTTTATTTAGTGCATGAAAATAAAATGTCTGTGTTTAGTTAAAATGAAACCAATTCATATAGGTATTTCGCAAAATACGACAATGTATGTATTTTGCTTATATGTTAAATTTTGTGGTTTCTGCAACAGTTCAGAGTCTAAAGTACATATTAACTGAGCAATATGACTTGCAAACATGCATTTATTAGATTTATTATTTATATTTAAAAATACATGGTAATTTTTTTTTTATTTTCCTTCTATGTATAAGGGAATTTTATAGGTTAGAAATCGTAAATCTAGCTAAGACAAAATTTTTTTTAATGGAAATTTTGATAATGGAACGGTAACCCCGCCAGTGCTATCGGTATACGCTGACGGAGCATCAGTAAGGGGTGATAGGTTTTTTTTATTGGATGAAAATGGTATGGTATCCCCGCCTGCGCTAACGGGATACGCTGGCGGAGCACCAGTGAAGGGTGATAGATGAGAATGAAAACAGGCCAGTTAGCACATCATGATGAATTCATCAGGAATTAACCATGATAGTTTCCAGCGAAAAACAAGAGCAGGTCGACCTGGTTGGGTATATTGCTAGCAATAGGATTCTCAGTCTCCATTACTAACAATCCCTTTCGCCCCATATTTGCAAACATGCATTTATCAGATTTATTATTTATATTTAAAAATACATAGTTTTTTTTATTATTTTCCTCCTATGTATTAGGGAATTTTATAAGTTAGAAATCGCAAATTTAGTTATGTCGGATTTTTGTATGGATTATAATGAACTGGTAACCCCACCAGCGCTATCGGTATACGCTGGCGGGGCACCAGTGAGGGATGATAAGTGAGGATGAAACAAGTCAGTTGTCCTGTAAGTTAAAATGTACATTTATATTATTATACGTATTATATCTCTATATGTATTTATAAAACTTTATTTTAAATTCGATTGAAAATGAATAATTAATAACATAAACTTTATTAGGTACATAAAAGCGAGATAAAGAGGCAACAATGGACAAAAATATATATTTTATTTGTAACTATAAATCAGCTTGTATATTAATCATACAAGATAAGTATATATAAATACATATATATATATATATATGACGTAATGTTTTAAATCCATTATTAATGCCGTGGTGGGCGGTACATACGCACAGCAAATATTAAATCTTCAAAAATTCTTATATCTAAGTTTATAGTTTTTACTACGATATCCCCAGTCAGGTTGACATTCACGCCCCCTACTTTTGGACGCTATAGCACCGTGAGTAATTCCTGGTTTGAAACTTAGTTGTTCTTAAATTCAATTCGTCACAAAGGATAGATATGTCAAACTATTATTTCAGCCGTTAACCGTCCACTGTTGGACATAAGCCTAAGTACCAGTAGTTGCCACGCTTGACAGACGGGTTGGAAACCGCAGTTAGGCTTTTAGAGATGTTTTAAGAGGGACGCTGCTGCCCATCCCTCGCCCTCCCCTAGTCGCTCTTCCATCCAACTTGTAACTTAGTAACAATATGGTTGGTTTATTCGAATTTACTTCTCGATGAGAATATTTTTATTTAAAATTTAATATACTTTCCTATTTTTAGGACAAAAAGGCGTGGAAGTATCCGAATAGTCTGTCCTGCTCATTCTGATCGGCGCCATGATACTGGTTGAAATCGTCGCCTCTGACAACCGAACAAAATCCGTGGTGAATCTCTCTGGGAGTAGCAAAGCCATCATCAGTGACACGGAGCGGAACCTCTTCCGCTTGAGCGATTACAATTTGAAGAAGGCCGTCGAGGCACACTTCGGACAGCAACCGACAGACGCCTTCCTCAGGAGTCCGACACCCTGGGACGATCTGTACCAGAGATACGGCTGGACGCAAGTCTCCACGACACTGACTCCTGTGGTGGCAAGGATCCTCAGAGTCAGCTCAAAGCCGAGCGTCATTGCAACAAAACACTTCCAAAACGACAGCACACGGCGAGCTACATTCAATGGCAAAATCAAAGAGGAAGTCCAGAACACTGTCATTTCCTCGTGGGAGAAAAGTAGTGACTTCAGCGTTGGTCTGAACATTAATTATAACTTCGGCACCAAAGTGACGTCTAGCAGTGCCGGTGCCTCATTCTCTTATACATCCAAATGGGGAGAGAGTAATTCCATATCGGAGGCCGTGACCGTGGGCTCCGAGTCGGGAGTTGAAATCACCCTGGAGCCCGGTCAGGGTGTTGTAGCCGAACTGCATGCGACACGGGGCACCATGGAAATCCAGGTGGACTACGAGGCTACCCTCTGCGGTAGTACTGCTATCAACTACTATTACAAATACAAGGATCACCACTTCTGGGCCCTGGACATCAACGAGGTGATGACAGCTGGAGGCTTGAGAACCTCCGTGCAGTCCCGGGAAGTTATCAAATTTGATTACTACTCCGATTCAACAGTCGTGATTAAAAATGCATAGACCAATGTATGCATGGTACTGCCATAAGAAATATTTTTATATTTACTGTAATTCTTCAGTTCTTGAGTTTGTGTTGTTACCGAATTCTGTTTATACAAGCAGGTGTCTAGATGAAAGTGGCAACTTAAGTATTTGGCTGATTCTTGAATGAGTAAAATCTCATCATCAAAATCTCTCTCTCTCTTTCATCAAAACAATCTCTTATAAACAAATTCAATTTTCACTTCTTTTCACGACAATTATCAATGATTGCTTTTGTTTTCTTATTTCATTAAAAGATTTTTTTTTCAATAAGCCTCGTTCCATAAGGAACGGACCAAGGTCGATGACCATGCTGCCTTCAGTTTTCATTAATAGATAATGGAAAAAAATCCTTTTTTTTTATCTAATACTTTCAGACTAAATTCTATTGGTATAATCTAAAATAATATTATAAAGAAAGATTTTATTATTCGTTTTATAATAATAATAATTTATTTGCATAAATGTAGTTGAAATAGATCTAAATTAGTGTTATGGAATCACATATTTAGCCACATTGTTTTAATGGCGTGCAAAATGTAAACTCCTATTTAAGTGGATACGTTTCATATAATTTCAGACCTTACAGTAACAATATTTATTCTAATTGCAATAAAAATAACCTCAAAAATTACCTATGAAATTAAAAAAAAATCTTTCACTTGTAGATAGCATTATCAGCAAACAATATAGACTGTATTTTAATAAAAAAAAAACACATCATAGCCAGTGTGTATCTATAACTTTTTATATATATATATATATATATATATATATATATATATATATTTTAAGGGCTTTTACCTTCTTCAGGTATATCAGTCCTATTGTACCCTGAATTGATTTCTCCAACAAAACTTTATCTACCTTCCCTAGACGCGGAAAGAGAAGAATTAATGGGCATCAATAATTTACACAGATGTTCAAAAATTTCTGGTTTAAATTCAGCTAACATAGATTGAATAAGACCAACATTCAATTTATTTAAGTTAAAGTGGCGCATGAATTCTTCTCTTTCCTTCGTGTTAATATGACACTCTAATAGAATATGATGCACATCATCGATGGTATTACAAGTTTGACAATGGGGTGACAAGGACTTTCCCATCATATGTGCAAATTTTTTTATATCTATAACTTATAATTATTAATTTTTTTTTAAATTTAATTATAAAAAACTTATTTAAAACTTATGTTATATAATTAAATTTTAGGTACATAATATTACAGTTTATTTAATTTATAATTATTGTTTTATTTTTATTTCATTACACTCATTATTATAAATATTTTTAATCTTCATAAATTAATTTAATAAAAATACTATTATTTTTATAATTGTGTACAATGTAGTGTATTAATTATTTTTATATTTTATTTTTTGTGAGCCTTTTTTTTATGCAACTTAGAATAGCAAAGAAGCTGACGGCCCACCTGATGGAAAGTGGTTACCGTCGCCTATAGACATAACACGGTATACTGTTTCGCCCATGATACCTCCCATGCGTTGCCATTCCTGAAGACTCAGGTGTTATTGCTCTGTACTCAGTAAATTCACTGCCATATCCCACTCTACAAACCGAAATATAGCCATGTAAACACAACTGCTTTACGGTAGAAACACGAATGGGACAGAGGTGCCCAAGGAAACAACTTTTGTACAAAGTCTCCCTCTAGTGAGTGTACAGCCGTTTCTCGTTATAATATTTTGCTTTGTAAAAATAAAACAATGATTTTAATCGTGTTATATTGACTAGTTTCCTATTTTTTTATTTATTAAAGTAAACCAGAAATAAAGTAAAGCTAAAATATGCATTAATGTACCTTATATTAAATACTCATAGATATACCTGTCTATAATTACTCCTCTCGGTCCAATGGTTGGCTGGAAAAGATCGCTCTTAGCGATAAGATCGCCCATTGTTTTCTCATTGTGATTATTTCTTGTAATTGTTTGTATCTATAATAAGTTTACTATTGTAATCTTTTGGAGGAAACAATAAAGAGTACTCTCGCTGTTGTTTCGTAAGATTTAAAATATTTAAATTTAGAACGCATATAGATAGATAGATAGATAATTTATTTACACCACTTGCAGCACACAAATTACAATAAAAAAAAAACATACACATAATACACAGTAAAAGAGACAAAAGAATGAAAACAAAAAACACAAAACAAAAAAAAAACATAAATCTCCTTTCTTTCCCTTCCTTCATGCGTGTGCCATAGTAACACAAAATGGTCACAACTCAGTTTATTGCTTTGCCCTTAAAAGAGCAAAACACTAATATTCTGTTGTGGCCAAGAGTCAGTCGCGAAACTACTCATTAAAAATAACAATAAAAAGAAATATAAATAAAATGCGATCAGCGATTAATGCTTTACAAATCGCAAATCCGGCCCCATATAGAGTATTGCTGTCACTTATGGGCGGGAGCACCTAGATACCAGCTTGAACCCTTCGACTCAGTGCAACGACGAGCTATGCTTGCAAGCGATATCGAACCCTTAAGTCTTAGGAGAGATTTTGCCTCACTCTGCGTGTTCTACCGCTTGTACAACGGATTATGCTCAGAGGAATTATTCAATATGATGCCTACGGCCACTTTCTATCATCGTACGGCTCGCTATCGACAGGGAGTTCACCCTAATACCTTACAGCCTAAATGGTCGCGTACAACGCGGTTTCAGAGATGCTATTTCCCACGAACACTCAGGTTATGGAATGAGCTCCCTGCCGAGGTTTTCCCAAGAGACTACAGCATGGGGTTCTTTAAAAGGGGGATAAAGAGGTTTCTTCAGGGTCGGCAACACGCGCGCGTAATACTAATGGTATTGCAGGCGTTTATAGGCTACGGTAACCGCTTACCATCAGGTGGGCCGTATGCTTGTTTGCCACCTCAGAGGTATAAAAAAAATGCATTGTGTGTGTCCATTACATTCGCCTCCATTTGATATTATATTCTAAATAAATAAATAAATAACAGATACCATTAGATGAGGGGTAGTCAGAGATCACTTTCTGTCACATTCGTGTAAAAAAGTAAATATTGCTTCTGAATAAACACAACGTTGTCTCGTAATGAAGTAAAGTCTTATTTATATAAGAATTCACTTCATTACGAGTAAATACTTAAATTATATAAGTAAATTTCACATGCACAAACACACTCACACATATGCTCTTGAGTGGCGATCCCGTACGAGCAAATGCAGTGTAGGACGAAACTAGATGGAGTGACGACCTCAAATGTGTTGCAGGGAGACAGTGGATGCAGGTGCCCCCCCCCCCAACATTGCTGGTTGTAAGTGGCTTTTTGTTACTGTGGGGGGGGAGGGGGTGGGAGGGACGGACTAAGGAAATGTTAGTAATGAAATCTAGTAGACTCATTACTAACAATTCCCCCTAGAAACGATCTAGGTGAATTTTTGATAAATTCATCACAATTGGCTAACTGACCTGCTTCATCCTCACCTGTCATCCCTCAGTGGTATCCCAGCGTAAACCAATAGCGCAAGCGGTGTTTTTTTATGAATGATAATGAATTGGTAACCCCGCCTACGGGGGGGGAAGGGGGGAAGGGATTGTTAGTAATGAGGTCTAATAGTCCCGTCGCTAGCAATTTACCCTCTCAGGTCGACCTCCACGCGGTTCACCCTGGAAACCATCATGTTTAATTGTTGTCGAATTCATCATGGTGGACCAACTGATCTGCATTCATTCTCACCTATCATCTTCCACTGGTGCCTCGTCGGTGTATACCGATAGCGCGGGCGGGGTTACCATTCCATTTTCATCTATTAAAAAAACCCCGCCTGCGCTAACGGTATAACGCTGGCGGGGCACCAGTGAGGGATGACAGGTGAGAATGAAAGGGCAGGTCAGTTAGCTCATCATGATGAGTTCACTTGGAATTCAGCACAATGGTTTCCAGGGGGAACCACGTGGAGGTTGAACTGACAGGGTGTATTGTTAGCAATGGGACTAATGAGTCCGTTTTACTAACAACCCCTTTACCTTAGGGGGGAAAGGGATTGTTAGTAATGGAGACTGGGAATCCCATTGCTGGCAATATACCCAACCAGGTCGACCTCCTCGCGGTTCTCCCTGGAAACTATCATGGTTAATTCCTGATGAATTCATCATGATGAGCTAACTGGCCTGTTTTCATTCTCATCTATCACCCTTCACTGGTGCTCCGCCAACGTATCCCGTTAGCGCAGGCGGGGTTACCATACCATTTTCACCCATCAAAAAAAACAACCCCTTTACCCCGCGCAAGCGGGGTTAGCATTCCATATTTATCTATTACAAAAAAAAAACTATCAAATGAGCTGCATACTTGTTTTCCCCCATAGAATGCTTATATTTAGACACTTTTACATTTTCGGAATGATATCAATTTCCGATTCTAGAGATAAAGAGACATTTTATTTTATTTTTACTTACACGCTATTTTGTTTTATCAGTTTATTTAAACGGGCATTCTTTATTAACAGAAGAATTAAGAAACAGCCTGTATATATCTAATAAACATATTAGATATATACAGGCTGTTTCAAATAGTTCCTTCTGATTTTATTACCTTTCTCACGTCTCGCCTGGTGACTAGCGGATATCAGTAGCCATCATTGTCTGTTTACGAAATATGATTTCACCTTTGATATGCTTAATACATTTACAATATATTTCGGGAGGGGGAAAAGGGACTGTTAGTAATGGAGACTGAGAATCCCATTGCTAGCAATATACCCAACCAGGTCGACCTCCTCGCGGTTCCCCCTGATAACTGTCATGATTAATTCCTGATGAATTCATCATGATGTGCTAACTGGCTTGTTTTCATTCTCATCTATCACTCTTCACTGGTGTTCCGCTAGCGTATCCCGTTAGCGCAGGCGGGGTTACCAAACCATTTTCATCCATCAAAAAAAAAATATTTCGGGATCGTTTACCTGCTTGAGCCCAAAAACTCTTGATCTTTGGCCCAATCTAAATAAAAAAAAATTGATTCAAATTAGTAGCTGAATGAAATTCGCAGTTGAATAAATAAAATTAAATTAGAAAACCATTCGAATAATTCGATTTTTTTTTATGTAACTTAAAATAGTAAACAAGCTAACGGCTCACCTGATGGAAAGTGGTAACCGTCGCCTATAGACAGGAGCAGTACCATGGACATAACAGAGTATACTGTTTCGCCCATGATACCCCCCATGCGTTGCCATTCCTGAGGACTCAGGAATGATGTTTCAATCAGTCGGATTAATAAAGTCGCGCATCGCTATGTCAAACGAATCTTTCGAGGTCTTATTTTTCAAAAGACCGCGACCCCCTTTTATAACAAACGTGACTCCTCATGGGTCGCGACCCCCCGGTTGAGAAACAATGATCTAGGGATTTTTTAATAGACGAAAATGGAATGGTAACCTTGCCTGTATTATCGGTATATGCTGACGGGGCACCAGTGAGAGACGACGGGTGAAGATGAAATCAGGTAAGTTAGCCCATCAACCAACCAACCACAAAAACACTATGGTTTCTTGGATATGGAGAAGCTTTAGCTCCTTTTAGTATATCTAATGATGGCTTGTACACTAGGAGGCAACAAGTGGACAATAAGAAATGAGCCTAGTAAACTTTTTACCAAGAAACTTTGTACAAAAATCATTGGCACGTTCCTTTCTGTACCACCTGTATTTCTGCTTGAAAGCAGCTATACTAACATGGATGTGAAATGTAGTAAGGGACCCGAGACCACGACATTAGTTTAAAAGGTATTCTGCCAGCTGGTAGTAACTTCTGGCAAAGAGAAGTTCTTGCAATCTTGGCCAACATACCTCCATTCAGAGGGAAAAGGAATTGTTAGTATTGGGTTCTAACAGCCCCATTGCTGGCAATACTCTGTCAGATCGGCCTCCACGCTGTTTCCCCTGTAAACCATCGTGTTAATTCTTGTCGAATTCTTCAGGATAAACCGGCTGACCTGCCTTCATTCTCATCTATCATCTCTCACTGGTGCCCCGCTAATATATACCGATAGCACAGGCGGGGTTACCTTTTCATTATCATCCATTAAAAAAAAACATATTTCCATTGCTATTATTATGTAAGTCATCACATATTCCTTTCCCACTCGCTCGCCTTTGGAAAACTTAATCATAAAAACATATGCAATTATAAAATATCATAATTAATTCATGGTAAATTTGATTTATTTATTAAATGATGAGCCAAACGAC